GGAAAGTACACAAGCTACACTGTCTGCGACTACGGAAAGCGAGGAACATAATTTCATAACACAATAAAACCCACATTCATAGTTCAATGGACTCTAACGAAGAAGGATTGAGCCTAAAGTTGATCAAATAGAAAGATATACGATGCAATAGAATACGTCTCCATTATACTAGAAAGCAGTGTATGCATTTTATTATTAACTAGTGAACTAGGGCCTAGTTTTCGTTTTACGACTAACTAGGTGATTTCAACGACATGTAACCGCGAAAATATTTGCGAGCTTACCATTTCGTTGTTAGAGACTTCATCTAGGCAGCACGCCAAGCACATGCACTGGAAATATATCCAAATTGCGAGAGCGTAGATTTGTAAAGAAGCCATCTTTTTAATTGGCTCCCACAAGGCCCACAGCCGCTGCGGTTCTACGTAACCGAAGCCAAATAGTTTAACTAGCTGGCCGACCGGGAGCTGATCCGTCACTCACGGAAAGCTTTACATCAGCAGGTAGGTTGTCAGTTTCTTCTCCCGCACGAAATCGCTGCGTGCTGCCTGCCGTTAGCTAGGCTGTTGCGTGCTCAACGATCGTCCGCTAGAACTAGCACGTGCTCACCGGCGCGTGTGCGGGCCAGGCTACTAGCAGCATCCATGTTAAACACGCAGCGAGCAGTCTCGTTTTTNAAAGATCTGCGCTTCAGCGCTTCGGATCAACATCTCGTTTCGGCAACGCTTCTCTAGTATCCCGTCTCATCTGGATTCCCCGCTATGCTTATATTAATGTACAGGAAGATGGCGCTCGTGCGTCGTTCACCGTTGACAGCCAGGATAATTTTCTTCGGCCGTATTTATACGGTCAAAGTGGAGCCGGGCGGGCGGCCAGGCTACTAACAGCATCCATGTTAAACACGCAGCGAGCAGTCTCGTTTTTACACTTACGTTCGAAAGTGAGCTGGCTAGAAATTCTAAATGCAATGACGTCATTACTGAAGTTGGCCAATCGAATAATAGATCTAGGCTTAATGCATTTAACATCCTTGATACCAGTCCATACATCGTATATATCAACTACCACTTTCTATTGATCTTAGGGTAAATCTTGCTCATCAATATTTGGTGAATGTACTGTAATTAAATTTACCTACTGTACGAATAGGTTTAGTTTTTACAGAAGAAACGTTATATGACCAATGCGATAAATCAGACTATTTTCTATTGGTAACTATAAACATAATTTAAAGTAAAGTCTACAATAAGCTACATATCAAGAAAATGCGATTCCATTTAGGATCCCTATAGCCAATGTTCCGGCGCGTGTGCTACGTTAGTAGCTACGTAGTACGTATACACTTCACTTCATTCGCTTAATGGTCACCTAACATGTCGAATAAGTAGAAACGAGAAAACGCGTGGGAAACATATCAGAGATGCAAATAATAGTGAGCGGAACAGGCTACTTTTCTATCTGAAAAGCTGTGGTAGCGGGTATATGTTTCAGACACAATTATCGTGATTTTGCGGTCCGGGATAATTAGCAAAAACATGAAGCAGCTATTAGCAATGCAGCTGCGCCCGGGGTGGGGGGACGTATACGTCGTTAAATACCTCGAGGGGTTTGCAAAATCACGAGCATGAGTCATTCACATTCCGCTAACGTGATAACTCCCGCTAGTGGGCTGTCCCACGCTCAATAGGGCTCCGCGGCTTTGCAGTTAACACGGGCCTGCATTACAAGCTGCACTCTATCCTCCTTCGTGCTTGTTGCTGCATTGAAGTTAATGTGCGTGGTCGCCTGGACAATTCCTTCACCATAAATGTTATGGTTACGGTTCGTTAATGCCGCGGCTATTCAACATCGCTAAAGAAAACGCACCATAAAATTTTCTCTAACGACAACAGCATTGTCGCACCCGTGTGGCATTTACCCTGCAGATTGCACATAATCTGCGGAGATCCCGCATGCCTGCCTGATCCAGGAATAAACTACTGGGAATAACTAAAGGGACAGCATAGTGTGGCAGCTGGCAGTCTGAATGGGTAGGAATAGGTAGGGTAAAGCTGGGACTTGAACGAGGAAAGAAAAGGCAGGTATGAGGTACAGTCAAACTAGTAGAAGGGTCACCCAAGGTAAACTCCCAAACGTGTTTTTTATGAACGACTGCCTCTTTTACAGAGATGGCTTCACTGTATAACTGTCATTCAAGATGGGCGGAGGAAATCCAAAGAGTGTCTTTATAAGACAGGTGCTCGTTTTTTAGACATTGGTTTACAGTATAACTGCTGTCAAAAAGAAACGCCGAAATTGCCCATTATAGACAGGTGTCCTCTTTGTAGAGGTGTCCGCTTACGCAGGTTTAACTGTACGGATTGAGAGCGGATAATGGCAATGTTTGATTGAATATTAAGTGATAAAAGTCAGTGGCTAGGGAGGGTTTGAATCGAAAAAGATGTGAGAAGATATTCTGCTCACTAACCGTAACTAACATATTCAGTAAACTTTGTGCAGTGCGTGCATATTGAATATAAACAGTGTAAGAGTGCACGAACAAACTAGTGATGTTCTTTTGACCAGTAATAAGTGTATGAACGCGGGCAGATATAGAAAAACTTATTACTAAAAAGTTCAAGCAACGTATTTCGCACGCACAAAGTGCGACTTCCACGGTTCCTGCAGTATTACACGGTGAACTGTTCACGTTTACACCACTTAATTTCACTTTTCTATACGATGCATGTCTGCAGATAAATTGCGGCCAGCCATACGAGTAGGGCTACGAATCCCGTTCAAGACGCGCCTGTCATTTTCGCGAATACAAATCAATCGTCTAATTCTGCCCGAAGTCAATAAATTCTATTTTTACTAATGATTTGAGCTTCATAGTCAATGCTACTGCGTTCGTAGCCGGCAGCGCGCCTCGCCACCTACTTTTGACGCGTATTTTTCACCGAGAGGAGAAAAAGTAAGACTTCGAGCGCGTATATTATTTGTGCACCTGCCGCCACTGGTTTTCTGCTAGTCTTAGGGACACAGGTCTCATGCACTGACAACCGTTTGTATTCTTGCTCACAGAGACGAGAGTTTCTTCCCCTCTAGTGAAGACTCGACACGGCATCTCAGAGATGAAAATTTCCCATATGCTTTCCCGATCGCTGCCTATACCGAGCGGTAATGAAGTGCCACTCATTTGCACTTGAGTACTACTGAGTCGCAATAACGAAAAATGCGACTCATTTATAAGAAATCACAGCAAGGCCAAGCGAAAGAGCGCGCGAGAGGGAGTGCGCGCGAGAGAGAGCGAGAGATAGCGAGAGAGAGAGAGAGAGAGAGAGAGAGAGGGGAGGGGGAGAGAGAAGTA